CTTCAAAAACAAGAGCAACAGATAAGAAACGCACATAACAGACAAAGAGGACCAGCCTTCCTTTAATCCCTAAGGAAGCTGCACCTATGAAACAATTCTAAGAACTTCCCAGTCGTTGCTAAAAGAAGCTTTGTTGAATTATGGATATCCCCTAAAGGCTGGCAACAAAGTGCTGGGAATAACATTAAAGCCTCGGCATCCTGAAACAAAATATATATCAGGTACTGGTCCCTTTGAAGTCTTACTGAGAAATGTTGCTGCATGTCACCAAGAGAACGGCAACTGCTCAAAACTTAGTTGCCCTCAAACAAATATCAAAAATCTTTTTTTAAAAAGAAAGGTTCTTCGCCGCACATACATTAGTCAAATTAGAAGAGTTATACAGCATAATTGTCATTTTCTAACTAGATCGATGTGTTTTGGGGATCTTTTAGACACAACATTCTCAGTGCAAATCTTGTGTCATCCAATCCAGTGAAGCTGCACTTTTCTTTTTCTTCTTCACATTAGAGTACAAGGGAGAGACCGAGGCAAGGAATTCTCTGCCATTATCTAGGAATGGCCAAAGTGCATTTGCGCCCATTTCTGGTTTGCCCTGAAAGTGCTGAAAATGTTTGTGATTTTCCCGCTTCTAACACAAAACCTACAGTGTGGATCTAAATGTCTTTTCTGCTGGTAGATTGTTTCCTTTTTGCCAATTCACTCTCTCCCAACATTGCTCTCGACACTGGAGGTCCCCTGACCCCTGGGGGGGATACAGCGGTCTGCAGCAAGAGAAGGGAAGCTGCAAAGTTCTGTTCCTCATGTTGAACTTTACTCATGGTGCTTTGGACCCCCCAAAATCACAAGACACTGAGGGGAGATGGCTGCAGCAAAGAGGAAAAACAGGCCAATACTGTCCCACAACTCCTTCTTCCATCAGCAAAGAAGCATGGTGGAGAAAACTTTCCACTGATAAAAGAGGAAGGAACAAAATTTTTGCCCTATATGCCCCTCTCCACTGTAGCCCTTCCACTCTTGTGGCACTGTGTCCACAAGGGTTCTTCTTTCCCCAGTACTGACTTCTGGGAGGCTTAGGGAGTTACTCCAGGAAGCACGAAGGGCTCATACTTTACTAGATCCCATCCATAATGTGACAACGAAAGTCTTGGCCCTTTACCATGCTAACTTTTAAAGTACACATACTCACATGGGCCATTATTATGGTTCTTATACCTACCTTTTGAAGACCCAGACTGGTTAGAATTAGGTGAAAAATTTATGTGCCTTCATTTGAAGCCATCATTCCTTTTTCAGCTGCCCAAACTGTAATGGGTTCACCATGCTCCCTCCTTGTAAGGGATTTGATGCTATTGCTGCATCTGATGCTAATGGCTACAGATGGAATTCATCCATGAAATTGGATTAGAAGGCCAGAGATAAGCAACTAATAACATCCCTGATATTACAATTGTAGAAAAAATGAGAAATAGGGTTTGGATCATTGACACTCAACCCCAGGAGACAGCAGAATAGAAATGAAAGAACAGGAAAAGATCATGAAATACCAAGACCTATGAATAAAGTTAGAGTACCTCTGGGAGAAGGTTACCATCATACCAGTTATCATTGGAGCTCCTGGAGCAGTGCCTAGAAGTCTCAAGAAACATCTGGACATTCTGGGCACTGAACAAATAGTACCGGCTCAGCTCCAGAAGACAGTGTTGCTTGGAACAGCAAGAATCCTGCAAAGATACCTCTGCAGTTCCCAAGAACTTGGCTATATCTCGAATTGCAGAACACCACCTACCAGTCAAATATCTGACTGTGACAATTTAATAATAACAGTAACAATAATTTCAAAGTGTCACTTGAGACTACTGAACCAGTTAGCAGCCCAAACAAATCAGGATTGGCTAAAGAAACTGAACACTCCAGGCATGATCACCACAGATTAAAAACCTATAGTCAAAGAAGTGAACAACATAGAAGCCAGCCACAGAACCAGGCTGAGAAAACAAAAAGGAACACCCTGAAGGAATACAAAAACGAAGTACACTAGTACACGTAGGTATATAAAGAAGAGTGGTGTATGGTAAACTGCAAACTGAAAATACTACCTGAAAACACAACATGAACAACTGTGACAAGTATACAATTGTAAACAATATTCATTGTACCAATGAGTGTGTAAATGCACAGAAAAATAAACAGTATAAATGTATAAATATATAATACATCAAAAAGGAGTTAACAGACATGCCACGTGCCAAACTCTGTTACGAGTAGATCTTCATCAGACCATTTCTGGGTTATCCTGTTTATTCAGTTTTAAAACTGCCACCAATTGAGCTGATGTTATTTTACATCTCATACTGCACAGGCAAGAGACCTTTTTTGGCTCCTTGTTTTGAATGGGTGACTGTTTTAAAATTGAATACACAGAAACAGTAGGATAAAGATCTATCTGTAACAGAGTTTGGCTGACAATCTGTGGCATGTGTGTTAACTCCTTTTTGACATATATTTATACTGTTTATTTTTCTGTGTATTCACATACTCATTATTGGTACACTGAATATTGGATACAACTGTATGCTTGTCACATCACCAATGTATCTAATTCTCAATTTCTTCCCATCTGCAGATACTTAAATCTGAAGACTGGGGCCATGAACAGACAAAACATTACTTTCCATAAATCTGGGGGCGGGGGGCGAGGACACAGTTTGCAGAAAAATGTGAAATCTAAAATAAAAAATAAAACTGGGAGTTTAAAGCCCTCCAAAATAATGGAAGCAGCATCTCTACCTTTAAGAAATGAATGCTCTCTAAAGTTTTTAAAGTACATGCCTATATGTGAATCAGGCCTTGATGAGAGTAATCCAGAACACCATGCAACTGCACCTGGCTGGGCGGCTGGCTCTGAAAAACTGCATAGAGTTCTCCCAGGGAAAAGGCGACAAGAGGAGGGAAGGAGAGAAATCTGAAGATGGGGGGGGGAGATAAAAGGAAGGTTGGCTGGTGGGTAGGAAGGACAGAAGGAAGCAGAAAAAGGGGAGAGCTATGGGGGCTTTCAGGGAAGGGAAAATGGCAATAGTGGGGGGAAGGACAAATGAGATGCCCCCCCAAGTACTTACGGGTCCCCCACTTCTTTGTTCATATTGTAGTTTCAGGTGGTGTTTTCAATTTGCAGTTTACAATACCCCCATATTTTTGATATGCCGTCTTATTCTACTGTACTCTGTTTTTACATGAAGCCAGAATAACCGTGACTACAGTGGTTTTGCAAAAAAAGAAGAAAAAATCAAGTGGCTTGTATCCTGTGACAGCAGGATTCCCACTCCCTTGCCCACTGTAGCTCACTGATCCCCTCTGAAATCTGGCTCTGTGGGATCAGGACAAACTCTGTGTGTGTGTGTGTGTGTGTGTGTGTGTGTGTGAAATTCTCACCTGTCGTCAGAACAGACAATAGGACACAGTCCCGTTTTTGAAAGCGTTGTTTCACCGAGGACCCTAAACATTGCATTAATTCTCCTAGTCACGAGAAATAACACCGATTGCCACTACGCCAGTCTTTCCAATAGTTTGCTTACCTTGACATCTTATACACTGTAGTTCCTCCCCAACATAATTGTGGGCAAGACAAAGCAGACGTTGGCCTTAGGATGGAGGAAGTTCCTCCAGCCTAAGGAGACTCCAAGTTAAGTGGCTCTTTCTGCAGGGTGCAGCTGCTTATGTTGACGGAAGTCTCCTTAGGCCGCAGGAAGGCTTCAAATTGCTCACTGGAGTGGGAGGATACACACCAGTGCCATTCTGATGGCAACCCAGGGCTTTTATTGTGACCCTGTTGTCATTAATGTCTCATCCTTGCCACACTTTTGGTCAGTGCGTCATTGGATATCGGCAGAAAAGAAGGATGAAGGAACACTTGATGTGCAATGTGACCCTGCAAGACTGGTCCAAAGCAAAAGCACACCAAGCACTCCCTGTTTTGCTTCCATTTCTGCTGATATGGATAAGCCACAACATGACCCTAGGAGATGAAATGCATGCTGAAAATGAGCTGCTAAGTACCTGTTGAACACCAGAAAGCTACATAAACTGCAAATAATAGGAAAACCATGAGCAGCATGAGATATAGGTGATCTCCGTAACTAAAGGATTTCATCTTCATGAGCAAAGTGATAAATATGAAAAGAAGCCTACAATGAATTATTGATTCTGTCAATGGAAGTGATCACTGAGGGCTGCAGGGAAATACTAACCAGAGTTGCACCATTCTGAATCCATTGATTTGACTGTCTGCATTTGGATGATCGCACTAACCATGGCTAATTTAATTAAACCACGGTTTTGTGTGATATCTGAGCTAAGAAAGTCACATGGATATAACGTGGATATGTGAATAACTTTATCCTTATATCCATATTATATGGATGTGCATAAAATATAATTTTATTTCCTAATTCTGAAAAAGTTAATTTAAAATTGGTTAACTCTGATGTCAGTACTACAATGATAATGGTGGAAATAAAAATGGTAAGGTTTAAAAACATTTTTTTTCAAAAAATAAAAAGAAGCTTTAGGACTGTTAAAGCTATTGGGGGAGGGAGCTTCATAATACTGTCCTGATGAAATAAATGTGGGGCCAACAGATTTTTGTTTGGTATTTGGCCACAGAAACTATAGCCAAAATATGTAAGAGTAAATTAACAAAGTGATGGATCTGGGAAAAATAAAAAGCTGATGTGTTTGAATATCTTAGGAAAAACTTAGAAGCAGTGTTCAACTAGTTTGCTTTTTATATGGCCTTGATAGATATACGTCAATAATAAAAATTCAATGGACGTGGTTATCAGCAACAGTTACCTCCTTGTTGATCGAAAATATGAAATGGAAAAAAGAAAAAAAGAACATACCATGTCCACAGAACAACACAAAAAGAACTAGATCAGGGGCATCAGGGAAGGTGGAATACTATAACAACACATGTTATATTGTTATACTATTCCACCCACCTTAATGGAGAACCCTTTGGTGTGGCTACGCCATAGCCTTTCGAATCCAGATTTCCTCCCACTTTCATGGTGTCACATGGCTTTCGTTGCTCAATGTATTCATTCATGGTGGACTCCAGGAGGAAGGCAAACTTGCCCTTGGATTTGCGAACACGAGCAACTCCCTCAGCCGTAGTCCTAGCGAACACTGATGGGTCTGTTGTGCTCATATATGTCCACATCTTTTCATAAACTGCTATTTTTGATCTCTGAAGAAAATTAAAAGGAGATTAGAGAAAACAAAGCTATGAGATCATCACAAAAACAGGTTGCAATGTATCAGGAACTGGGGTTCATTGATCATTGCACTAGGGAAAGCAGGCATGTTTTGATACCATTAGCTTCACGGAACAATGTTGAAGTCCTGATAATAGCACTTATCATCTCACATACGTGCCGACTTGACTTGAACAGTGCTGCATATAGAACAGTTATTTCAAGGCAGAATCTACAAGACAGAATCTACGGCTAGCAGAAGTAGTAATACAATGAGAACAACGCCAATCAGGTGCCACAGTGTGAAACAGCAAATACTTCATGCTTATACTGGCCAAGTGTGGACATGGTGATCTAACACAGCTAAAAGAATGAGCTTTCACTTCCAGGTTCAGATGGCATCACAGGACAGCTGCATCTATAGGGGAGCTTGCAGAGACAATTTCATAGGGTCTGCACAACTTCCCAGTGCAGCTGACAGCTTTGGACATGACAGTGATGAACCACCACCCACATGGGGAGCCAGTGCTTAAATTACAGGGGAAGGGAAGGTGATGAGCCTGTTAATGCATCATAGAAAATACACTCTTCTAAGATGTCCCATAGCCTTCTAAAGACAGGACCCAAAGGAGTCATCACCAAAAGTAGGAGGTAGGGTTGCCAGGTGGATTTACTTGGCCGGTGGGGGTAAAACTAGAAGTGCCCGTTCCGATGTCCTATGATCACTTGGAAGTGACACAGGCACATCAGGGCTGTCTAGGGGTGACGCTCTGGTATTTGGAAACCTCTATGGTAAATTCGGCCAAATTTAACATAGAGTTTGCCCAAATACCAGAGCGTCGCCCCAGATGTCCCTGACGTACCTACATCACTTCAGGATGATGGCAGCATGTCGGAATGGGCACTTCTGGTTTTATTGGAAGTGGCCCAAAAATGTCTTTTGGGGGTGGGATTTCCCCTATTGGCCAGCTGGCCGGTAGTGGGGAAGCACCCCCCCAAAAGCAGGCCTTGCACGCAAAATAATTGAAAACAATTCGTTATGCAGAATTGACTATATATTCTGTTACCTAAAGCTCAGTTTTAAACCGCTATGTTGCAAAACAAGCTTCTGCAGTACACATTTGATACTATAATGACTGGCTTTGGAGAATTCACCAAGCAACCACCCTTGGATTCCATGAAAGATAAGAGGAATGAGAGGAACATTTTTCAGAGATCTGTGAGTGTCACTAAGAGGATTATCTTGCTGCGCTGGTTGCTTTCTTGTAGGTTCCTTTCTTTGGCTGGAGTTGGGTGGTGACACATAGGCTGATTTGCTTCCTGACATCCTTCGGGTCCTACATCTCAGTTCCTGACTTTCGGTATGGAAAACGTGCCAGTGAATTTTGCCCTATCTTTGGTTCCCTGTTGAAGTTTGCCAGGGAGGATGTAAATGTACCCTGTTTGGAAACCTGCTTACAAGTGGCCACAGCAGACACAGGCCAATGGTTTTTAGACCAGTTCAGCATGTTACGTTCTGTTCAGTTTTGAAACAGAAAACCGTACAGTGTGAGTACAGGCACAGTACCATCACAGTTAACCACACTGACTCCTGTTGAGCTCAGTGGGAGAGATGCAAGCACCTGTTTAACTCTCCCATTGAAAATTCAACCAATGGGAACTAGGAGTACTCAGTTTTGGCTGCATCATGTTTGGTGTTCAAAGGCTCTGTGTTTAATAAGTAGAACACAATCCATTCTAGATCAAGCTCTTTGTAATCCCCTTGATCTAAGTGAGAAAGAAATAAGCACAGACACATATTTCTTATCTGCACAGAATTGCAGCAAGAGGTGTTGATCCCCACTGCTACTAAGCACATATTTAATACTCTTAATGGTTCCTAATTTCGGCTGGGTTGTGCCCATAGTTTTCTATTTTCAAGCTATGAGAAAGTGGGAATTTTTATGCTTCTGCAGCAGAGCATCCACCTTGAGAGCAATAAGGAAAAAAGAGCTTCAAACATGAGTACAGATGATCAAACTGCTGAAATAATAGCAGCCATTTTGTTTTATCCAGCACCTGATTATGCACAGAATTGCAGCAAGAGGTGTTGATCCCCACTGCTACTAAGCACATATTTAATACTCTTAATGGTTCCTAATTTCGGCTGGGTTGTGCCCATAGTTTTCTATTTTCAAGCTATGAGAAAGTGGGAATTTTTATGCTTCTGCAGCAGAGCATCCACCTTGAGAGCAATAAGGAAAAAAAGAGCTTCAAACATGAGTACAGATGATCAAACCGCTGAAATAATAGCAGCCATTTTGTTTTATCCAGCACCTGATTATCATATTATTAAACAATCCTCCAAGAGCTTACAGTAGCTCCAGTAAGAAGAGCTCTGTAAGCTCTTGGAGGATTGGCTACACTAGGGGTGTGTGGCCTAATATGCAAAGGAGCTCCTGCTACAAAGAGCCCTGACTTAGGGCTAATCAATGCTCCTTTTCGTTTTAAGCATGGTGGCTTGCAATGAACCAGCAGAGCAACGCTATTTTAATTACCTTGGCTCCTACAGCCACTCTGGGCATTTCCGAGCCTGATGTGTCAAGACAAATATATTTGTCACAAATTAAAATGATTGCAAATACCAACAAGTGGTTCCAGAGTTAAAAAACCATCACATCAACATTGAAGGAGCGACAGACCACAAATCTGATTATCCGTCATGCAACATAATTCTGTCAGCATTCTGAACACTTCTCATGTAGGCGAAGGAATCTAGACACCTCCCCTCCCGCTCCAAGTAGACATGCAGACTTACTCTGAAGAACTCTTTTGTTGATCCAGAATCCAAAGTTCCATATGCAATTTCAGTTTGTTTGGCGAGGTCTTCTGCACTCTCTATGGGTGAGACCATTCGCTCAACAGTCAAGAAAGCAGCAAGATTAGCGGTGTATGATGAAATAATGATCAGTGTGAAGAACCACCACACACCTCCAACTATGCGACCTGAGAGGGATCTAAACATGAATAAGATAATGCATATTTTCCTATCTCTTGTGCCAAGGAGAGAGAGAGAGAAAGAGAGACAGTGAGAGACACCATTATTGCAGGAAACGTATTATCCAAGCAACAGTAATTGGCAGCGAGGCACAAAAGAAAGGATCAATAATCTATTTAGCAAGGTGCTCCCTTAATATTCAATGCTCAGCCAAGGGTACAGCAAGGCACATGAGTAAAAGTGAAATATACACAGAACTCTCTTATAATTATGTTTCTTAAAATGAGGAAGCAGCTGCTGCACTGGTTTATTGGAGGTTTTCAAAGTATGTTGTAAGAGTTGCTCAGAAACTTATTAGCTAAAGTCAATAATAGCATGCAAACTTCCTTGAAAGGACAGTTTTCCTGCCACTACTGATCTCCTCATGCAAACTGCAATCATAAGGGAGTGTTGGGTGAGTCCCAGAGCACGTTCTTGATTCATTTAGGTTCACCAAGAGCTCTCAAAGGCCCATCTGGGGCCCCATAGGGTCCTAGAACACATCCTCAAATCCTTTGCAATGTGCTAGAGTCCTTCAGCAGACAAGTCATTGTAGAAAGGCTCCTTTGAAGACAGAATACATGAAAACACTACACTGAGGCTACAAATCCAACCTTATTCTACCACTTTATCTTGAATACTTAAAAATAATCCACCTATTTGGTTATTTGCTAGGGCAGTATAAAGCAAGAATCCCAGAGAAATAGGACTGTGATGCTCTAAACACATGATAAATAATGGCCTGGATCCAATGTAAAAAATCTGGCCGTGCTAGAGCTCTTCTAAAAGCAAAAAGACACGAGACAGACCACAGCAGCCACTAGCTCGAAGTCATACTTATTGTATACCCATTTGTGTTTCCACTTGTAGAAGATATTGTGAAAGCCATTTCTGGACACTGTAACATATAGGTAGAAAAGCACTAGGTGTTCCACAAGACTTTGAGCAAACAGAACTAAGCCTACTTATGCTACCACTTGTGCATTGCTGAACTGGATCCCAGCCCATATGCTTTCATATGTACCCAACTTCCCTGTCGGAAGGTGAAAGGTTGGAGACATGAGCTGGGCGGGTAATGAAAAGGCTACTTTGTGACGCAATGTCTTACGTTATCCTTATGACCCCACACAACCAATCATGATTCCTGCCCCCCCCTTCATTGCCAGACCATTGTATTGATATCTGAAAGGACATTTGCTCTTCGAAAAATGCAGACCATCTACTTCACCGGGCCCTATCGGTCACTCCGCATGTTTCTAATATCATGTTCTTCAGTCGAACGGAACAGATGTCAAGTGTGGGGAAAGGGCTTATGGCAATGGCACTCATATTAGGACAAGGGAAGAGCAAGTACCAGACGTGTAAATGAGGCAAGTTCAAAGGTTAGTGGGAACTGTCAGAGGGAATGAGTATTTTGCACTTGTGAAGACTTTCGGGCGGTTTTATAACACAGTAATAACAATAACAGTAGAGTAAAGAACACTTCATGTTGACATTACTGACCAAGACAAATGACAGATAAGATATAAATTAGATCTAAATAAAGCTGAACTGAAACCGGGGTGGAGGTAATGGAAAAAAAGAACAATTCTGGAGTAATCCAGGCACAGCATTACATACACATGTGTATATTTTCATATTACGTACCCAACACTTTCAAAATTCAGAACAGGAACACAACATTAATGCATGGAATATTCCATCTGTTCCTTACAACCTGAAAAATGTTTTCGTTCTCTTTACATGGGCTAATGGGGATGAACTGTTTACCTTGATTAAAATTAACTGGGGCCATCAGCTACTAGATTAAAATTTCGAAAGAGGAAAAGGAAAAGGAAAAGGAAAAGGAAAAGGAAAGGGAAAGGGAAAGGGAAAGGGAAAGGGAGAAAGAAAGAAAGAAAGAAAGAAAGAAAGAAAGAAAGGCAAATACATTTTCATAACAACAGCAGCAGCAAATACTTTGAAAGGGTTTTTAAATTGTTCTGCATACTTGCCTAACTGGGGAATGAGATGCAGAATAAGAATCAATCCCATAAAAGAGAAGAGAGACATTTTAGGACTGATGGGGGGGAAAAAGTCAACTCAAGCAAACCATTTTTAATTTATTGTGTGTGACACGGTTGCCAGCCTCCAGGTGGGGCCTGGAGATCTCCTGGAATGATAACTGATCTCCAGACTACAGAGATCAGTTCCACTGGCGAAAATGGCTCCTTTGGTTGGTGGACTGTATGGTCTTGTAACCTGTTCTCTCCTCCCCAGGTTCCCAGGAATTTCTCAACCTGAAGCTGGAAACCCTAGTATGTGGGCTTATCACTGCTGAGGATCAAACACAAACCAAAAAGCAAATGTGACTTGATACCAACCTGGGTGAAATATCACATCCTTGCTGCATAAAGGCACCCAGGGAAAACCACAGACTGTTGAAAATGCCAAACTCATTTGGAGGCTGGTCACTGGGTCCTTCTTTGCCATCCTCAGGTTCCTCTGTGTGCCACTCATACGGACTGAACCTGCTCACGAGGAAGAGGACGACACTGACTCCAATGTAGGCAAACACTATGCACATCCAGATTTCATAGGCCAAGGGATCCAGGAAGGAAAACACTCCAGGTTTAGATTTCTGGGGCTTTTTAATCATAATAGATATACCCAGACTCATAAACGGCTTTGAGAAATCGATGACCTCCTCTCTCACCAAAGTGATGGTCAAGGGTGCAACAGCGATCTCTGCCTTCTGTAAGAAAAGAGACCCCAGACAAATACAAATTAAGGATGAACTCTAAGTGACGTATTTTTAACAAGGAGGAAAAAAAAACATTTTGATGGGTGAAAATTTTGCTCGAGGTAGAACTAGTGGCCAATTACTAATAAATGATGGTGAAACCAGGATTTCATTTTACATTTTTTGAGAAATTTCAGCAAACAGGTTAGAGGAAAGATGGATAAGTATACTTATTCGGGTTGAATAAGTATCTCTGTTCCCTGTGGGCACTGAATTTGGATCTTTCTGTTTGAAATATCAAAGAAAAGCTGCCAAATTAATTTAAAGATGTGCACGACAACTTTCCTGATTCAAGAGTTTCATGTCTATGTGAGAGTTTTGATGTCCACTCAAGAATCCATGCAAGGAGGAGCTGTCTCCTTTCTCTTATGTCAATCTGCCTCACGTTGAGTTGGACAACTAACCTGACTCACACAGTACTGGCTGCTCAGAGGTTCTTTAGATTGGAGATATCAGGGATTGAATCTGAGACTTACTGTATGCAAGGCATGTGTTCAGCCCAAGAGGAGGAGGAGGAAAAGAAGGAGATTGGATTTATACCCCACCCTTCACTCAGTCTCAGAGTGGCTTACAATCTCCTTCCTCTCCCCACAACAGACACCCTGTGAGGTAGGTGGGGCTGAGAAAGCTCTGAGAGAAGTACTCTTGAGAAAACAGCTCTGAGAGGTCTCCCAGGTGACTGCATGTGGAGGAGTGAGGAATCAAACCCAGTTCTCCAGACCTGAGTCTGCCATTCTTAACCACTACACCAAACTGGCTCCTATCATGTATGTGAACCCTGGAAACTGTCGAGACCTTAGATTAACTCACTATTGTCTAGGCTGACTGGCAGTCGATTTTCAAGGATTCTTTCCCAGCTCTGCCACCTGGGGCCCTTTTAACTGGAGCCACCAGGGATTTGAATCTGGAAAGTTCAACATGGAGAGCAAATGCTCTGTGTTTGTTTGTCTTGGACTGACAACCTAAGGGATAGCAGGTTGGGAATTCAATCTGTGCATTGTCACCCACAGCATACTGGGAAGTGTTTCATATGTACCTCTGCTGTGCACTTGTAGAGCACGTACTGACATGTTGAGGCATTCTATGCTTGTGCAAACATCCATGTGCACACTGGAGCTCTGTAGTGCTTTGGACACCAGCCAGTGCCATCAGCACTAAGGAGCATTTCATGTGGAACAGCACTTAACAACTCATGCTTTATACTTCTATGAATAAATGAACCTATTAATCGTAGCAAGTTAGGCTCATTATCAGTCTTTTCCCATTTTAGCTAAGCAACAGAGAAACATCTTGCAGCCATTTCTGCATATCTCCCCTCCTGCTGTAAAAAAAAGCATAATGTGAAACACAGTTTGTATCTTCTGAACGACAGCCTATTTCAGCAACTTAATCCAGGTTTCTTTTCTCCTTTCGTACAGAATCCATTTTGAGAAAGCTTTCCAAAATGCAGCAGATGCTATTTGAACTTTAGATCCCCATTCTTTCTTAGACATTGACAGAAATGGTCAATGACCTCCTTATTCATCATGCCATGAATGGATAATATTTCAAGGCGGAAGGATGAATATTTAATTGGGATTGTCTGTTGGAGCCGCCAGGAACACCTGCTGCAGGTAGCTAATGGCATTCATCACCGGAAAGTTGCTTGAGTGAATAAGCTCATCACCAAAAGATTGCACCGTTGTGCGGATAATCTTACAGTCATCCGATACATCAGGAAAACAGCAAGGATTTCTTAGCTCTGCAGGGCAGTGAAAATGCTTGGTTTTTGATAATCCTTTGGCCAAGGAGTACACCTTGCAGTAGAATCACTGGGTCTTAGAGAATGCAGTGGGATGGGGGGAGATACAGTACAGAAATGGAACCATTATTACATTTTTCTAAATTTCACAAGTTTTCAACAAGTGTATTTGCCAGACCCATAATAAAAAGGGAAAGAAGGACCTTAGAGGGCTCTCACCCTCTGAGAGATTACTTAACAAAGCCCCAGTCGATAAAGATGTTTGGATATTTTCCTTCTCCCCTCTCAGTTTTGAAGTTTGCATCAAACAGCTCTCATATTTAGGAACAAAATGTGATTAATCAGCCAGTCAGTCCCTAAAGTATTTGCTGTCCTGCCTTTGCATGTACCAATGGGCAGGAGCCCCCTCTTCTCCTTAGAGTTCCCAGGCAGATTGGGGGGAGGACTCCTGTCCGCATCCGAAGCAAGCCTTTGTGGCTGGGATCTTGGCAGATGAACGATGATGACATTGGCAGTCAGCACAGTTTGGGGACAAAGACGTAAATGCTAGAAATGGAATTTCTCAAGCTGCTTTTTAAACACGAATGGCCTGCGTGCTTTTTGACGGCCACTTTCATACCTCAGCAGCTCCCTTGTAGAATCAAAATGCATTTCCATCTTTCGTAAGTGATATAAAAAGGGAACTTTTACAGTCACTAGTTTAAATGTTCTGAGAAATGATCCATCAGAAAGGAAATAGTTCTAATGTCTCCTCCTGCACAGAAATACAATTTTCTCTCCAAGTCAACCGTATCTTGAACACACATGCACCGTTTACAAAAGAGGGTCTTGGCATGCTGTCTGCATTCCTTTTTGTATCCTTTACAGACTGAAGATAATATTTATATTATTGGCATTCATATGTGAGTGAGTGTCAACATTTACAGATTGCTGGACATTCATTATATATATATATATTCCTGTATATTCGAAATGCATTTCTGAGAAGTTTTAAGTTCAAGCCTATGCCAAAAATTGATGTGCTTACCCCATATACCAGCTCTCCCACCATCCCATTCCATATTTTTGTGTTTGGGTCCCTCGCTCCGTATTTTCCATCAGGAACAATGGCAATTTTGTACTTGAAGCCAATATGTTTTGCAATTTCTGATGCCAGGTCTACACAGTATCCTTCATACTTGTCATTCCCTTCAAACAGTTCTTTGTTTTTTTTCCACATAACATACGGGGCTTCCTACAATGAAAGAAGGAGAACTGTAAAGGAGAAACATTTACCAGAGTCTGTCTAAAGAAAAGTCCAGCTTGTTGTCATTCTTTCTGTCACACTGAAAGGGCATTATATCTAATAGTATCACAGATAATTATCATAAAATATGAAACCAGAGGTCCATGAGAATCCAAGAACAACATGGACATGATTTACAATAAAAGCACAGAGGATGTATAATTGAATCCCAGTCCATGGTTACCAAAACCTCTCTGCTGTTTCTTGGATAATGGTGAAACACAAGGACCAGAAGACTGAAGTATGACTGTTAACCAATCAAAGATATACTAAGAAACTACGAAGAACACTGTTGGATCAGACCAGTGGTCCATCTAGTCCAGCATCCTGTACCACAAAGTGGCCAACCAGTTGCCCTAGAGGGGATAGCATTCAAGGGCACTGAAGCTGAAAGCCATCTGAATAATCCCCTGCCTTTTAACTGATAGATTAGTCAATTTCATTTAATCCCCTGCCTTTTAATTGATAGATTAGTCAGTTTCATTTAAACACATCTGAATACTACCAAAGTGCAAATATCAGTCCACCTTTGGAACACTGGAGGAAGTATGTAGTGAGTTATAATTTAATAATCTAAGACTGGCACTCAGTAGAAAAGGCCTTCTTTAATACTTGCTTTGCTATTACCCATTGCAACAAAATACTGGGTTCTGAACAGAACTAAAAATAAGTACAATATTAACTCACAGCTCTACTGATGAAAAAAAGGTCCCTAGTAATTGATCAGCTTCCCTCTCAATCCTATGCATATTTACTCTGATTAATTGTGGCATAACTTTAAGTAAGCATGCATATGATCACAATATAAATTTAGCAGATCAATGTATCAATTGCACCTTACAGTTTTACTTTTAAGTAAGATGTAAAGAAAAATGTACCTGGAATGTTTCTTGGCTTTGCCAGTTTTAATATATAGTTCAAGAAGCTGCCAGAGATCTTCACAGAAACCCACGTAAATCACTGGAGTACTTATTTACCCAAGCATTTCAAATATACAGCTATATACATTGAGCTATATCAAAGTATCATCTGTAAGTAGAATGTCCTTTCCCCGCTCAGACTAATTTATGTGTTGCAGGTATTTAGTAGGCAGCTGCCAAATGGTTTCTTAAATAAAACACCCTAAGAGGAACAGGTTATTTGAAAGGTACTGTCTTTGAATAGAGTATGAACATATTGAAAGTCAAACCACTAATTCATCTAGTCCAGTATAGTGTAATGTGGGAAGCAATGACTTTCAGGGACTTAGGCTCTGCTAGTGGTGATGCTTCTGTCAATCCTTTCTACGTGGAGATGATAGGGATTGGATTTAGGATCTTCTGCAATGAAAGCTTGTGTTCTACCTCTGTGCACATCTCTCCATAACTTTACACAGATGTTCAAGAGTCTCTGTAAACAGCAAGTGCAAATGCAGAAATATATATTTTGGGGGGGGATTAACAGGGAATTGTCTCCATAACTGATCCAAGTACCTTAGGTGACATCCCTCCTATACTAGATGACATATTAATCAAGTCATAATGGGTTGTATCCTACACTAATCCAGCAGTGGTGCATTCCTTCTATTCAAGCAGACTTCCTCCAATGCAAGAGGCTGATCTACCAGCAGAACAACTGCCTGCATCAGAGCAGGGTACAGCGACTTTTTACAATTAAAGAGCCAAACTATGTTGACATTCAGTGCAAGAGATCAACAAAGACCCTGTGGCTCTTTCACTCTCACTAATCTTCGTATCTTCTTTACATCACTTCAGAACTGTACTCCTTTTCCCTCATAGGACTTCTCAGATCTCCTGAACATGCCCCCCCGTGTTGTTTTCAAGTCTCCCTGGCTAAGGGAACACCACCTGGGTCTCTGCCCAGCTGAGGCACTGTCAGGTAGGCTTTCAGGACTGGGCCCTGAAGAGTTTTTACAGTACAAAAACCCAAACCTAAAAATGGCGGCAGCATCCCTATATATGGCAGACACTGGGATGCCGTCACATCTAGGTGAGCCCACAGTTTCTTGTAATTTTTTTCAAGCTATAATATGACAGTGTTGTAGTATGTAAATAAATATGGGGTAACTCTGGCTGTCCTGATAATTAAAATCTCATAATAAAATTACCACTGAAAATACTAGGTGCTACAATGAAAATATTAGGCGCCATGACACCTAGGATTTATCAAGCCCTGACATATGCTCTCTCAGTCATATCCTCTTGTTCAATCAAAACTCTTCATTCACGTCTCTCTCTCAGTCTTAGTCATCCCACCCACCCCTCTCTCTCTCACACACACACACACAAACTTTCCCCCTTCCCAGGCAACCCCCCTGTCTTTTAAACCACCTGTCAAGAACTATGTACACAATTCAAAACATTATAGAGCATTATTTACAGATCCTATATGCATTATGTCACAAAGCCACTATAAGAAAGTGCATTTACCTTGCTGACATGTTGATTAACAATCCATAACATTTCTACAGCCTAAACTTTGGTTGTTGTGAGTCTTTGTTAGGAAGTGGCACACAAAGGTGGCACATAACAAGTAATAATATACACAGGAACACCCTGCACAATTATTTGAGTGTATCGGCATAAATATGCACAAGGTTTTCATTTGGATTATTTTCTAAGCATCTCTAAGAAGACCTTTCATTCCATAATTTTTTTGCCTGCCATTCTCTTCACATATTGTTTATTCTAGCACCTCACCAATCCCTCCATTATACATCAAATATGTCATTTCCTTTTTAAAAAAAGAACCTTATTTGATTCTGCACTGAGACAGATTTATCTCTGTAGCCATAGGTTGCAGAAGAAAGGTCTTTGTGCTATAAAAATGTTTAATTGTTAGCTGAGTGGAATTACATTGGAAGAAGGGACTTTGCAATGGAGGGATGTGCCACTGTTCATGGAACCTTATATTTAAGATTTTATAAGAAATGTTTGACTACAACATCCAGCTGAAAGATCAACAACACAACATTAACACACAGATACACCAAAGTAGGATGACATGATGGTCATGTTCGTAGTAACCAGCAAGACCTTTTTAATAATTATTACTCCTTGCAAATAATGACCCATGACCACACCACTTACATTTTGGGCTAGAATATAGTTGTCAGAATCTCTCCACAGCTGTGATATCTGAAGCATTTTAGGAATATAGCTTTAATGATGTCTTAAGAGACATAATAGTTTGCACACTTGTTTTTACTCAGGATTAGTTAGAGAGAGGTTTCATTTTCTATGGCATACACACATATTTCTTCTGTCCCACTATTGTTCTAGTCAAGCCAGTTTTGAAACACTACAAAAATCACAACAAATTATTGTCCAGAGGTGGAAGCAGTAGGAATTGTATACACTACAAGCAGTGATGCATCTATAAAACTGCCTTCAACTCTGCAAAGAACTGTCATCTGCCTTCAGCCTTACTAGTATTTTTTTTTTCTGAAGGCAAAGAAGAAAGTGCCATTGAGTCACAACAGACTCATGGCAACCCGATCCACAAGGCACTTCCAGGCAAAAGAGGAGAAGAAGTGGTTTACCATTACCTTCCTCTGCACAGCAGCCCCATTCTTCTGTGGTGGGAATGGCAGACCTACGTTTTTGGGGCCCTGAAGCGTGAACTGCTATGGGGGCCTCTTCTCAACCAGCAACAATAGGACAACATCCAACAAGGTCCAAAGGGCCTTGCTGCCCTTGCAAGGATTTCGAGGCCCAAATGGCAGAAGCCTAAATATTAAGTACTTCAATAGATTGGTTTATGATTCTGTCATTAAAATAGCCTTATTTTAATAACAAGCACTAAAAAAAACCCTCATTACAAAAATTGCTCCAGGAATAGGGGCCCTGAAGCTTAAGCTTCATTAGTCTCATAGTAGATCTGCCCCTGCTTGGTGGTCTCCCATCCAAGAACTAACTATGGTCAACCTTGATTAGCTTCCAAGTTCTGATAAGGTCAGACTAAGCTGGGCTATTTATGTTGTTTTTCTGGGAGGGGAACCACCCTTCCTAATGTGTTGCTTGTTTGCAAAAAGATGTGAAAGTAAACAGACTTGCATCTCCATTCAGATGTGCTGTTTATATGGCTTCTGGGTGAACTATAGTTTAAACCAGCTAACTCAGTAATTAGGAAAAAAATGGACAGCCAGAGTTAAGAATTGCTTATTTGGTCTTGTTTACTAAATTATTCCAGGGGCAACCTAAAATATGACTTAATACCTGATAAGGTCAGACTAAGCTGGGCTATTTATGCTGTTTTTCTGGGAGGGGAACCACCCTTCCTAATGTGTTGCTTGTTTGCAAAAAGATGTGAAAGTAAACAGACTTGCATCGCCATTCAGATGTGCTGTTTATATGGCTTCTGGGTGAACTATAGTTTAAACCAGCTAACTCAGTAATTAGGGAAAAAATGGACCGCCAAAGTTAAGAATTGCTTATTTGGTCTTGTTTACTAAATTATTCCAGGGGCAACCTAAAACATGATTTAATACCTGTGCAAACTTCGGCCCATTCTGCATCTAGCATTCACTCTGCTGTTTTACCAAACCCACATTGGAACCGAAATTCCCTCCTACATTGCATGCCACTTTCACTTTGACTGATCTCTTGGTTTTATGGTACCGTCTGCATAGATTATGGCCATTCAGGGGTGACTTTGCAGTCAGTACAACATTGGTCCGGGGTATTTGAATGTGGTTTTGAGCTGCATCTTTTTCTGTTCCAGTGTGGGTTTGGTAAAACAATGGAGCAAATGCTAGATGCAGAATGGGCTTGAATCTATTTCTTTAATTCTCAATTTTTTTGTTCTCCTCCACATAATACACACATCCTGATATAAGGATGACCCATGAGCCTATTCTGTTTTTCTGTCCAACCCTTGCCCCTCAGTACAAAGGCTATGATTACCAAAATAGTAACAGAGTTCAACATCAAACGCTAACTATAAGTGAT